GTCACACCCGGTGGGTGCTGTTCAGGGTAACTCCTGACTTTGTGCTTAGAGATCACCCTTGGAAGTGCTCAGGGGATCATGTATGATGTCAGAGATTGAACCTATGTCCAGTGCATGCAAAGCAAGTGCCTTAGACCCTCTATTATGGCTCTCCACACCCCTTTCCTCCTCCTATCTCCCCTCCCCTCCCCTCCCTTCTTTGCTCCTCTCCTTCACTCTTCTTTCCCCTCTGCATTACTCCTCTTTCTTCTCTCTCACCTCTCTCTTCTCCCTCCCCTCTCTCTCTCTGGGCTTCCCCCAGGGGTACTGGGAGCCATCAGTCATCAGAGTTGTTTGACTCTTGGAGGTCATGTGATCCTGGGGGTTCAATCAAGATCACACATGTCAAGCATTCACTACAGTCCTCTGAGCTATCTCCCCAACCTGAACAGTGCAACATCTACATGTCCTTGCCTGTGAAAAATAAGACAAAATAGAGGGAAAGAGGATGGTTAGGGGGCCAGAGCGAAAAGTACATCAGGTAGAGTGTTTGCCTTGCATTCAGTGGACCTGGGTTTGATCCCTGAAATCCCATATAGTGCCCTGAGCCCCACCAGCAGTAATTCCTGAGTGCAGGGCCAGGAATAACCTCTGAGCAACACTGGGTGTGGCTCCAAAACAAAAACAGAAAAAAAAAAAAAGGATGCTTACACTGGTGGCTTTTTGGGTCAACACTGACACCTAGTGCTTTTAAAAACTGATCTTTAAAACTGTGTGACAAAATATTAGATTTCAAAAACCCTTGAATGATAAAATTCTGAGCAAGAGAAGACAAATATTATGATTATGATTAAACTTGAATGTATCATTGTGAATATGAGAAAGTTGACCTCGGCAATATGTTTTAATAATAAGCATCATTTAGCCTCCACTAAACTATAACTCCAGTAATGAGTTTACTAGGGCTAAACAATGTTCTGTCACGGAACTGAAAGAAATAAGGGAACTTCACTTGCCTACAGCAGCGTTTTGATTTGAGGTGCTTAGTTCCTTTATGGCTGACATAGGCTCATGCAGCCAGGACACTGCTGCTGCTTACCCAGTTCACAGACAAGCGGACAATTCCTGCTTTCCACAGCAATTGCTAACCTTCTCTGCAGAGTCTGGGGTAGGTACATCTTCTGTTGGGTTGGCAGACATTCTCTGTTGGACAGTTGCTCTGAAGTTCTAAATTTAGTCACAAAGTGGCATTACCTGGGATGCTTAAAAACACCCTGAGGAAGCAGAAGCAAGCAATAAGTAAAGCAAGTAGTTGCTTGTAGTTACTTCGCACACTGACAGAATTTGATCTCCTGCATCCTATATGGACCCCCGAGCACTGCCAGGAGTAATTCCTGAGAACAGAGCCAGGAGTAACCTATGAGCATAATTGGATGTGACCCAAAAAAGCCAAAAACAAAGCAAAATAAAACAAGAACAAACAAACAAACAAACAAACATCCCTAGGCTTAGAAGTGTCACATGTAACTGTGAAAGTTCTCCAGGGTATTCTGAGTGCAGGAAGCCCAGCCCGCCAGGAACCTGCCAGGGTAGCAGGCCCTGTCTCTCTTCTCCTTTCTTCTTGTCAATACTGTAAACTGAAACAAAGATATCGGAGCCCTCTGCTCAAGAGGGGCTCCAGCTCTGGGTTTCTGCAGCCCCTTCTCCCTCTCTGTACCCCCAACTGTCCACCTATGCCCCGAGGACTTAATGAGCTTTGGATTTCACGTGGTGGCCTTCCTAGAGGCCAGCTGGGACCAGAAGATACACTACTGCCTCCAGGAAAAAGTTTGCAAAGTCCTGGTGTTGCCAAGGTCAAGGGCCAGGTCAGTTTTCTCTCCTGATTATTCTGAATCAAAGGTCTTCTTCATGCAGCAATCAGTAATCTTGTGCAATCAGAAATCTAATCCAGGTTTTTCCTTCAGAATTTTTCATATGGGATCCTGGGTGGTCTAGCCTACAATGAAAATGACTCAACTTGAAACATAAGTGAACTAGAATTGCCTTTTAAAGGCTGCTTTGCCACATGTTTACATGTATTATATCTATTTAAATAGAAAATATATTAAGCACATTAAGAGATAATACAGGGGTTAAGGTGCTTGCCTTGCATGTGTCTGACAGGGGTTCCAATCCCCAGAACCTCCAAAAGTGATCCCTGAGCATTGAGCCAGGAGTAAGCCTTGAGAAAAGCCAGAAATGCCCCCTCCCAAAAATAAATTTAATAAAGTAAGCTATTTCCTTAAATTTCCTTTAGATTTTATTTCATAAAAATCACTAGGTAATACCTAATTTATAGAACAAATCTTGGAGCTAGTGTCTGGGCAGAGCCTATACAACAAACAACTTCTGATTCAAGGAGTTTCTGGCCACTTCTGCTCTTGCTTTAAGTAATCTGTATGGTCATGTGATGGAAATCATGGATGTGTGTCTATTTGATTGTTTGGGGGCCACACCTGGCTGGGCTCAAGGCTTACTCTGACTCTGTACTCAGGGATCACTCATAGTGGGTTCAGGGGACCATATGGGGTACTGGGGAGCAAACTCGGTCAGCAATGAGTAAGGCAAGTACCCTACCTGCTGTACTATCACTCTGGCTTTGCATATCTATTTGAAATTGGTAGGGAGATAAGTATTGTTGATACTCCTTGAAAACCATGAACTTAAAAGTCACTGAAATATGGGTTCAACTTTTTTTTTCTCAGATTATTAATTTTAAAAATTAACAAAATGGGGGGGGGCTGGATCAATAACACAGCGGGTATGGTAGTTGCCTTGCATGTGGCCGACCCGGGTTTGATTCCAGCATCCCATATGGTCCCTCGAGCACCACCAGGAGTAATTTCTGAGTTGCAGAGCCAGGAGTAACCCCTGTGCATCGCCAAAAAAAATAAATAAATTAAATAAATTAACAAATGGGAGTCAGTAGCTTTGTTGTAAGATAAGCAAAATGGCACTGCCATTACAATTGTCTCCTACGGGACTATTAATTTGTAGAGGGATGATGGAAGGCACTATATATATATATATATATATATATATATATTATTTAAAAAGAAAACAAACTCCTTACATGAAGTGGTCAAACATTCATATGTTGACAGGTGCCAGAATGAGGTCCTGCAATGAAAAGTAAGAGGGGGTTCCAAGACCCAAAGTTTTCAGTGAAGTAAAGAGAGTAACACAAAATGTTAAGTATAAAGAGACTCTCTGTCACCCCGCAAAGAGATGAGTTAGCCAGCAGTGTTGTACTTGGTTTCTCCTCAGTGTATTCTAAAATGAGAACAGTATTCTTCATTTTTTTTCCCAACCATTTTTCATAGCTTGTCACAATTTCCAGAACTAACCCCCAAAATAGTGCTTATATTGTTTTACTCTTGGGCAAACCTAGGACAAGGCAAGGGAGGACTGAGTCAGAGTGTCTGCGAAGGCCACAGGTATGGGAGAGCGCTCAGAGCAGCAGCTCTGTGGGCAGACATCAGTCACCAGCCTTTCTCTACTCATCTGTTCATAGTAAAAGGACAATCTTAGCTTATGCCAGGGTTGTCACAGTATTGAGACCTCTTGTCATCCTAAGTGTTTAATACATTTTCTTTCTTTCCTCCCAGTATAGTGCTACCATACTCATTAAGATCTTTCTTCAAGGATATCAATTCTAGGAAATCTAAACCATGAAGACAGCTTTGCAACCAGGCTCTATGGAGTGAGGCCAAAAAGGAAAGACTCCTTTCCCTGTGACCCCCACTCACTAAAGGGTACAAGGAGGGGACTGTCTTCCTGTCATGTGCTAGCAGGAGGCCAGCTGTCTCCTTTGTGGCCTAAAGAGATACCAAGGCTCTTGAAGGGAATTTTCTTGATCAAAATTGCTTCCTGGAGGGGTCCAGAGAGAGTACAGTGGGCAGGGCTTTGCATATCTTCGGTTCAATCCCCAGCATCACACAGGGTCCCCGAAGCCCTGGCAGGAGTGATTCCTAAGCACAACGCCTGAATAAGTCCTCATTTCTGCCCAGTTCCCCCCAGCAACCCCCATCCCCACCCCCAAAGAACTGTACTTTCCTCACAATGTCATGCTAACCATTTGCTTTTTTTCATCTCCTTCTCTCCCTGGGAACTATTCAGGAGCTAAGGATGAAGGCTAATGAAGGTGTGCTTACCACCACAGGTTTTTAAGTGTGTTTTTGGGGTTGAAGAGATGGCTTCAAAGGATTGGCGCTAATGTTCCCATGTCTGAGAAGCCAATTGGCTTCACTGCATTTGTCCTGATGGCGAGTCCCTGTTCCCAGGGCCCCAGAGCACTGCCGAGCGTCATCCTTCCCAATGTGTTTTAACACCGAATACAAAAAATGTCCAGTTTTGGAGATGTCTCCATTACAAAGATAGCTCATCTAAACAAAAGGATGGGCGGTGAGGGTTAAATAAAAAAATTTAAAGGTTCTGAATAGGCGTGCCCAACTTGGCAAATAAACAGAGAGGAGGTCCCATTAAATTCAATTTTCCAATAATCTGGCTGGAGCGATAGCACAGCGGGTAGGGCGTCTGCCTTGCACGCGGCCAACATGGCCGACCCGAGTTCGATTCCTCCACCCCTCTCGGAGAGCCCGGCAAGCTACCGAGAGTATTCGATATGCCAGACACAGTAACAACAAAGTCTCCAATGGAGACGTTACTGGGCCCGCTCGAGCAAATCGACGATCAACGGGAGGGCCTTTACTTTACTTTTAATAATCTGCCTGGAGTATACGCACACTAAAGTTTCGTGGTCTAGTTGAAATTCCCACATAAAGGGGCCTGCCGGATTCGGCCTGCCCACGCTGAATTCCCAGTCGAACACAGCTGCTTCCCGCCCAACAAACCCAACTCGCAGGCAGATCGGGTGGGACACTTCCGGCCGGGGGCGGGTCTACGCCGCGCGGGCCCCGCCCACCCCGGAAGTTACCCTCCGCGGGGCCGCCGCCGCCTCCACCGCCGCGGGTCCTCTTGCAGGTCGCCTGCCCGGGGCTGGCCCCCGGCGGAAAGCTGGCGGAAGTGGCTTCCGGCTTCCCGGGCCGGGCCGTGCAGCTAGCGGCCAGATCGGTGCGTGCACGCCCTGTCGCGGGCGGCTGAGCAGCGGACGTCGCTCTTCCCCAGTCGCCGCGCCCACGGGGGCTGCTCGAGCCGGCCACCATGCCACTGGGCCTGAAGCCCACCTGTAGCGTCTGCAAGACCACGTCGTCGTCCATGTGGAAGAAGGGCCCGCAGGGGGAGATCCTCTGCCACCATTGCACCGGCCGGGGCGGCGCGGGCGGCGGGGGCGCGGGTCCGGCAGCGGCCGGCGGCCCGGGGGCCAGTGGAGGCGGCTTCGGCGCGGCCCCCTTCGCCAGCACCTCGGCCGCCCCTCCGCAGAGCAACGGGGGCGGGGGCGGGGGCGGCAAGCAGGTGAGCGCGGGGCTTGGAAAGGGTGGGGGATCCTCGCTGTCACCGGGGCCCTGCCAGGCCGGCCCGACCCTTTTTTTTTTTTTCACGTCCCCAAGCCCTGGAGATGAGCTGCATTGGTTTGGTCCTTTGAAAGCACCTTTTTTTTTCTTTAAACATCAGAAATTTAAAAAAAAAAAAAAGCCTCCAGAAATCCCACCCCAGTCCCATGTAATTTATTTTTATTTTTTGGTAGGAACCAGTTATCCCGATACACAAAGGTGACCTAACAGACATTTCCAACAGGCTCAAGTCCTGACTCTCCTTATTAATAAACGTTATTTTGTCATTGTGTTATTATTACCCTATTATTAGCTTAAGTGGCAGCGGGAAGTACTCATGCCACTGTAAGAGATGACTTCCTTAACCAGTACCCTGGCACTGGGGAATTGCGCTGTCTACTGGTTTTCTCTCTTGCAAATACAACTTAGTAGTTGTCTTGGCCCTGTTGGAAGCCTTCCGCCCACCCATCCCCATGCACGGTGGCTCACACCTTTTTGGAGTCATTGGAGACAGTTGCCTAAGGGCCCCTTTTCAAGTGATCCCAGCCCGTGTAATTTACTCAACGGGAAAGAAAAGGTAAACCCTTACTTAATTGTTAAATGGCCATTTAAAGTGTCTACTTTAATCTGTGTAACTTTATCTGAGGGTGATAATCCAAAGTGATAATCGGAATTGCAACCTTTCCCCCCTTTTTAATACATTTCTCTTTTTTTGTGTGTTGTTGTTGTTGTTAACTGTTTACCTAACAGAGTAAGCAGGAAATTCACAGGCGGTCCGCTCGTCTCAGAAATACTAAATACAAATCTGCTCCTGCTGCGGAAAAGAAAGTTTCCACGAAAGGAAAAGGGAGAAGACACATTTTCAAGTTAAAAAATGTAAGGTAATTGTGGACAGTGTCTTTCTGTAATGACGTTGTGCGTGGGGGTGTGCCCTGCACTGTTTTCACCTTTGTTAAGCTTTGATGCTGCTCTTGGGAGCTTTGGTGGATTCTGGAAAGTGGTCCAGAGGGAGCAAGTGCTCCTGTAGGAAGCATATTGTTTATATACCACTTCTTCTTTTAAACTTTTTACTAGTCCCTCTGGAAAATATAAATAACAGGTCTTAAACCATAAGCCAGTTTTTTTATCCTCTCTCTATGAAAGGATAAAGGTGGAGGGGAGTATGGTTTTTAACTTCACCGGATGTGACAGAATGGAATTGAAAATCTGGGTGAGTGATATTACTGGAACTTGTTCATTTTCATATTCATTTGTTATAGCCTTTGAAAGTATATCTTATATACTAATGAATTTGATGAGTATGAATGAATAAAGGCATTGCTAAATCTCTTGCTGTCAGGGAAAGGATTATTGTTGAAAGACTTGTACTGGCCTTAGTTGAAATCACACTTTTGTTGGAGCAAGTTCTCCAGAGGAAAGTGGTCAAATAAAGATGGACAATGCATTATAGACTGCTTTATTTAATTTTTTTTATTTTTTACCGAATCACCTTGAGATACAGTTACAGACTTACAAACTTTCGTAATTACATTTCAGTCATACAGTGATCAAGTACACATCCCTCTACCAGTGTCCATTCTCCCCACCAGCGTTCCCAGTATCCCTCCCACCACCCCCACTCCATCCCTTCCCCACTCCCACCCCCGGGGTAGGCACATTCCCTTTTACTCTCTCTCTCCTTTTGGGTGATATGGTTTGCAGTATAGGTAGTTAGTGGCCATCATGTTTGGTCTATAGTCTACTTTCAGCATGATCTCCCAATCCGAGTGAGCCCTTCAAGCATAATTCACCTAGTGATCCCTTCTCTATCACAGCTCCTTTTTCCCCAGCACGTAAGACTGGCTTCCAAGCCGTGGAGTGATCCTCCTAGCCCTTATCTCTATTATCCTTGGGTTATAGACTGCTTTTTAAATCTTCACTGGGTTAGTCTTTCCTTTCGAACAGAATTGCTTCATTTATCAGTAAAAATGTATCTGAAATTGGACTATGTATAGTTATAGTTATGTATAAAACACAGAGAATTCCCAATTTGAGATTTCTATAATTCAGTTTTCTTTAAATGGGGCATTTCTTGACTACGGAAAACTTGTTAATTATATTTCCTAACACTGAAGACACATGTTTTCCTCTTAAGAATGGTCGGGTATTGGGACTGGAGAGCATATGGGGCAGGGCACACAGTTTACACACAACTGGCTGAGGTTCCATCCCCTGCCTCCCTGAAGTCATTCCTGAGTGCAGAACTAGAAATAACCCCTGAGCATTGCTGTGTTTGTTGTTGAGTGTGGCCCTCCACCCAAAAAGACAAAGAAAAAACCCCGGAAAAAAATGATGGAATATATTCACTGCAGTTTCGGTATCAATTTCACTAAACATCCCCTTCAAAGATTTTCCAAAAATGTATTTGGAGGAACAGAGTTTCTATGTTGAAATGTCAATGTATATTACATCTGAGACGGAATTTTAACCAGGAAGGTGGCAAAGAAGTTTCTTTGTAGCCTTAGCTTAAGTTTGCTACAATTAGTAAATGATACTCTTTGTTCTGATAATACTCTGAGTATTACAGCTAGTTCCACAATTAATTTGGGGTGGAAAATGTCTTCCAAAGAGACACTTTTCTGTTGTGAGTTGACCTATACATATATTTTTTTTTAATCTGTCCTTGGGTGATCAGAGCTAGTGTATTTTTAAACTAGGATGTTAATGTATAATAAAACTTTGTGTCGGATCTCAGTAGCGGAATCAGTTCGGGCCTCTTATTCTCGGCATTGAACCTAATGGTAGCAGAAATAACAGTGGAAATACTGCTTTGCTATAATTCTCAGAAAGTCATTTACTGTAGTCCTCACACCAAACTACACACTTACTATTTCTCAATTACAGTACTCTCTTAAATGGCTGGGTGATGCCTCTGCACATACATGCACACATACATTCTGTATGTGTATGAATGTGTAATATTTTTATTTTTGTTTTCTCATAGCCCATCAAAGCTCCTGAGTCAGTTTCAACCATAATCACTGCAGAATCCATCTTCTACAAGGTAAGCTTTGGAGAGTTAGGTAGCACTGTAGCATTGTCCTCTCGTTGTTCATCTCCATTGTGAGACTTGTTACTGTGTTTGGCATATCGAATGCGTCACGCGTAGCTTGCCAGGCTTTGCCGTGCGGGTGAGATACTCTTGGTAGCTTGCAGGGCTCTTTGAGAGGGGCGGAGGAATCGAATCCCGGTTGGCATGGTGAGCTGAATGCAAGGCAAATGCCCTACTGCTGTGCTATCGCTCCAGCCCGGAGAGTTAGGTACTGAGGAAAATCTGTTACTACTGTAAACTATGCTACAAAAATGTTGGATTCATTGGAAAGTTTTGCCTGCTGTATGATTATGGTTTTTGTTTTTAATTCTATTTGTTCTCTGTAAGAAATTCCCCTCATAAGTCACCATTATAAAATATCTCATCCAGGATTGATGTAGAAGTAGATGTTGCCTATTAAAATACAAATAAAACTCTTAAGATTGGGAGAGAAGGGCTGGAGTGATAGTACAGTGGATAGGGCATTTGCCTTGCTTTGCTGATCTGAGTTCAGTCCCCAACACCCCAGTTGGTCTTCCTGAGCATCAATGGGTGTGACCCTAAAACAAAAACAAAAAAAAATTGTGGGTGGGGGCATTGATGCCGGCCTCTAAGAAATACACAGAGCCCCTGTCAGCAATTCTGAATTATTTGTACTGGCAGTCTAATGTGAAGGTTCAAGAATACAGTGTTGGGGCCGGAATGATAGTAAACGGGTATGGTGTTTGCCTTACACGCGGCCAGCCTGGGTTCGATCCCCGGCATCCCATATGGTCCTCCAAGCACCGCCAGGAGCAATTCCTGAGTGCATGAGCCAGGAGTAACCCCTGAGCATCACCAGGTGTGACCCAGAAAGGGGGGGAGGGGGCAGAAGAATGCAGTGTTGGGGCCAGAGTGATAAACAACAGGTCGGGTGCTTGCCTTAAATGAGACATATCTGGGTTTGATCCTGGCATCCCATACTGTCCTATGAGCAATACCAGGAGTAATTTCTGAGCATAGAACCAGGAGTAGCCCCTAAGCATCACCAATTGTATCCCACTAACCAAAAAGAAAAAAAATTAATTATAGGGTCGAGAGATAATACAGCAGGTAAAATGCTTACCTTGCATGTGGCTGACCTGAGTTGATTCCAGCACCTAATGGGGTCTCCCAAGCACCACCAGGAGTAATTCCTGCAAGCAGAGTCAGAAGTAACCTCTGAGCATTGCCGAGGCTCAAAACCAAGAGTGCAGTGTGGGGCCTTCAGCGCCAAGGCCCAGCAATGCTCACCAGCCTCTCAGGCTGCTGCTGGTGACGTCTGGAGACCAGGTGTAGTATTCAGCTAGAACTAGCACATGCACAATGGGAGTCTTAACTCCTGTGCTATCTGCCTGGTCCCAATAATTTTTAAAATGTAAGTATGGGAATTATCCTCAGAATGCTGATGGGGATCAGAGAGGTAGTCCAATGAGATAGAGTGCACGCTCTGAATACTGGAGGTCCAGGTTTGACCCCCTAGCACAAGATAGTCCCTGGTTACACCCATGCAGTACCCTCAGCACTGAGCATTTTTGGGTGTGGTCCCCGAAACAAAAAAGCCTAGTGTGTGATATAAAGTCATGAAAGAGCAAACTCTTAGTTGTTGAAAAGGACTGATTAAGAGAGCTTGTAAGGCATGGCTGGAGAGAGAGTACAGCAGATAAAGTGCTTGCCTTGTTTGTGGCCCATCCAGATTTCATCCCCAGCATTCCATATGGTTCCCTGGCAGGAGTGATTGGAGAGTGCAGAGCCAGCAGTAAGCCCTGAATATCACGGGGTGTGACCCCAAAACAGGGGGTTGGGAGTGGTGGAGGCTGGGGGAAGGAAAAGATCATGGAATGGGCCAGAGCTATATAGTGCAGTAGGTAGTGCAACCAAGCTGGCCTCAATCCCTGGCATTCCATATGGTCCTCCAAGCACCCCCAAGAGTAATTCCTGAGTGTAGAGTCAGGAGTAACCCCTAAGCCTCAGCAAGTGTAACCTCAGAAACAAACCTAAATAGATAGCAGTTCTCTAAAGAGAAAATTTAGATCAGCCATCTAGAGTCTCGTCAGGCAAGTGATTTTGAATGCCGTTTTGCAGAAGTTAGAATAAAAATGACAATAATGGGTATGACCACCTGTGGAGACTTTGAAACCAAGATGTTTTGAGAGTAATTGAAAGAGTCACTTTTCCTAAGGGCCCAGACCCACAAACATCAGCTACTAAGGGACAGAGGTGGCATCTCATTATTTTTGAACCAGAAGTCTTAGAAAAGCAATTATAACATAGAGAAGACCTCTGAGTCCTGGCATGCCTTGTAATAGCAGCACCTACTAAACACGGTTTGGTGTTTTGGGGTCTGAATTGTCACTAACTGGGTAGTGCTATGTTAACTGTTTATATCTGACCAAGGAGGAGCAAACACTGAATATAAATGCTTATATTCCTCTGAGTGCATCCTTTTTTGAAATCTGTGTAGTCTGCAACAGTTTATATGCAGGGTATTCTTTCCTGTATTTTCAGCATTTCATACACGGTTAAAATAGCTATTGTTTTGTACATGTGTGCTGTGTATCATGCACTGACATGGGCATTCACATGTTTTATATCAGTCCATCACTCCCTAATGTGAATCCTCTTATCCACATTTTATGGGTAAAGATGCCGAAACAGGGATTTATTAGTTTGTCGAAGATCACATGAACAACGTAAAATGCAGCAGCCAGACCCCAAAACCCAAACCCATAGCTCAGCCCCCGACCCCTGAGTATGTCTCAACAGGAAGGTGTGTGCGACCAGTTATTACAGCTATCATTACTTTCTTATTGCTGTTCATTAAAAACTTAGGGCAAAATGCAGCCAAAGAAGTATGTAGATACAAACTGAAAACTACTACAGACACCTGATGTTTTGGCATCTGTTAACTGGTCCTGTAAGTGTGTACTAGGGTGTGCGGTTTTACCGGGTCATTACCAGCTGAACTAGCCCAGATGAAGCCCAGAGGGAGAGGAATGGGAGTCATTAGCATGTGGACAAGAGTGTGGGCACCTGAGACCCAGATAAACTTAGTGGCCTCCTTGAAGTCTCCTTCAGGGGCAGAACACCTCCATTAACTCAAGTCTGGTTACTTCTACTCCAGTGTTTACCACATTGTTTCCCCTTTGCTCTCTGCCAGAGACCCGGAAATACCCCTACTTATTTTTTTTTAATTTATTTTTAGTTTTATTTATTTTTGGTGTTATCTGTATACTTGTACATATGTGTGTATACATATATGCAAGATAAAATACAGATTAATAAACTCAGGCCCCAGGCACCAAACATTATTGGAATCTGTCGCTGAGACATTGTCATTGACTAGCAGTTTTGCGTTTGTGCTTAAATGGAGTAATACTCATTCAGTATATTCAAGGGTAAAGGTACTGTTTTTCACATGTATGAGAAAAGATGGAGGATCTGGGTGGAGAATGTTCAGTCCCGATCCGAGCAGGCTTGGAGATCTCAGCCCTGAGACCCGCACGCCTTTGTTCCTCTGCCGGTACGTTCATGTGTGTGGAGAGTGGTCTCAGCATGGTTGTGGCTTATTCTGGAGGTCTTCAGCTGCCGGAGCTCTGCTCGGGGCGGAGAGGGAAACTCAACCCACCCCCCTCCAAGGGGCCTCGGCAAGGACAGCCAGGCGCAGGGGCAGGAGACTCTGCCAAGACCCAGAGACTATAAAACCCACTTCCCGGAAGCTATCTCATTCTTACTTTGGACAACCTGGCAGGCTACCGAATGTAACCTGCCCAACAGCAGAGTCTGGCAAACTCCCCATGGTGTACCCAATATGCCAAATACCAGTAACCATGATGGGTCTCATTCTCGTAACCCTGAAAGAGCCTTGAGTATGGCACTTTTTAAAATCTCAGGGCTAGGACGAAGGAGACGTTACTGGTGCCTGCTCGAGGCAATCGATGAACAACAGGATGATCGTGATCGTGATCATGATGAGAAAAGATATAACTTGGGGGTTGCAATCATATATGTGGACAAAGCAAGCCATTTCTGCAACCTATTTCTGTGTTAAGTGATTTGTTTATTGGTTGGGGGCCAAAACCAGCAGTGTTTAGGGCTTACTCATGGCTCTGCACTCAAGAAATCACACCCAGTGATGCTCAGGGGACCAAATGGTGTGTTGAGGATTAAACCTGTGTCGGCCTTGTGCAATGCAAGCACCTTACTCCCTGTACTATTGCTCCAGCACCTGTGTTAAGTAATACAGAACTTTGGCATGATAGCTGGAACGACCAGCTGCTTGCCGCTTCTGAACTTGCAAATAGAAGTGCCCAGTTGCACCACAGACTACTCACCTCCCCTCAGGATTCTCCTAGTGCCTCCACCAGCAGGCAGTGTTACCCACTTTGAGGACATAATGCATCGGATATCTTAAGATTATTTGTTGAACACTTAACAAAATTGTGGCTCTCATATAAAAGGAATTTCTGCTCATAGCTCTAGTGCGTGCCTATTCATTTTAAGTAGAGGATTATCTTTGACTTCTTCCAGGGAGTTTACTACCAAATTGGAGATGTTGTTTCAGTGATTGATGAGCAAGATGGAAAACCCTACTATGCTCAGATTAGGGGTTTTATCCAGGACCAGTACTGCGAGAAGAGTGCAGCACTGACGTGGCTCATCCCCACTCTCTCCAGCCCCAGGGACCAGTTCGATCCTGCATCCTACATTATAGGTGAGTGTGACCAGTGGCACCAGTTTTTTGTTCTTTTTTTTTTTTTCAAAACCCAGTTCATTCTCCGTTATTACATCTATGGATGTCTTAGTCTACTTAGATTGCCATAATAGGATAACACAGACCAAATGACATCAACAGTAGAAATTCATTTTCCCAGTGGTGTGGAAGCTGAGGCTGCAGGATCAAGCAGGATGCTGCCAGGGCCCTCCAGCAGGCTTGTAGACAGCCACATTCCCAGAGCTATTCTCTTTTTAATAACACCCGGTTCTTACTTCATTACCTCCCGAGAGGCCCCAGGCTCCAGTATCTTCTAAACAGCTAAAATCAGGGCTTCTATTTTATCAATTTGGGATAATAGAATTTAGAGTCCATAACAAAGGAGCATAAGTATCATCAAGAACAACGGTCACACAGTAGTTTTACATAAATGTGAAAGACATTTTATATAACTCAGGTTTGAATATTATCAGTTGCTTTAAGTTAGGGCAGTGTGCACCTATTTAAAAAATGTTGGGGTTCCAGGACATAGTACAGAGGTTAAAGCACTCGGCTTGCCTGCAGCCAACCCTAGTTCAATCCTGAGCCCAACATCTGGTCCTCCCAGCACCTGCAGCACAACTGATAATACTGAGCACAGCTGAGTATGTTCCCACCAAACTCCCCACCCTGTCAACCCCACCAAAAAAACTAGAGATTTGTCTCAGAGGTAGACTGTTTGCTTCATTTGTGTGTGTCCCTGGATTCAATCCGAAGTGCTACACACATGTGTGACTCAGAATTATACTCTATAATATAAAAAAATCATTCTGGGAGTGAAGGAGATGGTACTGGGGTTAGGACACATGCGTGCACCGGACTCAGGCTTAATTCCCAACAGCGAATGACGCCTCTGAGCATCATCAGCCATATGTGGAGACCCTTGAGGCTCTGGTCATTCCCAGCACTGCCGGGCCTGAGCAGTAATCCATCTATGAGCCCTGGCACTGCACCATCATCCTGGCTGGCCAAGTTTCAACAGGAATTGACCCCCCGAGCCCCCTGACACTGCTCCCCCCAAAAAGGATTCTTGCTCAGGAACTAGGTTAAGTCTCTTAGAAAAATTATAAAATACTTTTTTTTTTTTAATTTTTTTTTATTTATTGAATCACCTTGGGAAAGGTTACAAAGCTTTCAGGTTTAGGTCTCAGTCATGCAAATATCAAACACATTTCCCTTTACCAATACTTTTTTTTTTACCATGAAGAACCCCAATAAAACCCCACCCCCCACCCCTCCCAGTCCCTGTGGGGCAGATGAATTCTAGTTAACACTCTATCTGCTTTGATTAGATTCATTGTTTCAATAAAAGATTCACCACTATAATTTAGAGTTTACCCCCCCCCAAATCAGACATGCTGAAAAAGCATTGTGACGTGATTTGCTTTCTACAGCTGGGTTCAAGAATTAAATGTTGGTTTTGGATTTCTGCTATTTTACTTATTGACCCTGGAAGTATTTATACTGAAAGTCAGATAGTTAAGAAATTGGTTTCTGTGCTCTGGAGTCGTGGCCGTGCTGGAGAGCCGCTAGTGGGGGGCAACTGGTGGCCTCGGTAGGGCGTGAAGGGCGGACCGAAACGCCCCCTTCCCATGAGGTTTTAGTCGCCCCCCCACTCCCCCGGCTCATACCTGCTGTCCACAAGGCTCCCATGCGGCCGCCATCTTTCTTTCCAGAGAGGAGAAGGCGACTGGGGCAACACCCTTTCCCCTCCGGACAGACATGATGGCCTGGATTAACGCATAGTCCTTTCACTTTTCTGCTCCAAGCTGCTGGGTTCTGCATTAAGTCCTTGTGCTTCTGGGGCTGTGGCCGTGCTGGAGAGCCGCTCGTGGGGGGCAACTGGTGGCCTCGGTAGGGTGTGAAGGACGGACCGGAACGCCCCCCTTCCCATTAGGTTTTAGTCGCCCCCACAGCCCCGGCTCATACCTGCTGTCCACAAGGCTCCCATGTGGCCGCCATCTTTCTTTCCAGAGAGGAGAGGGCGAATGGGGCAACACCCTTTCCCCTCCAGCAGATTTGATGGCCTGGATTAACGCATAGTCCGTTCACTTTTCTGCTCCAAGCTGTTGGGTTCTGCATTAAATCCTTGTGTTTCTGGGGCTGTGGCTGTGCTGGAGAGCCACTCGTGGGGGGCAACTGGTGGCCTCGGTAGGGCGTGAAGGACGGACCGGAACGCCCCCCTTCCCATGAGGTTTTAGTCGCCCCCACACCCCTGGCTCATACCTGCTGTCCACAAGGCTCCCATGTGGCCGCCACCTTTCTTTCCAGAGGGAGGAGGGCGAAAGGGACCAACACCCTTTCCCCTCCGGGCAGACATGATGGCCTGGATTAACGCATAGTCCTTTCACTTTTCTGCTCCAAGCTGCTGGGTTCTGCATTAAGTCCTTGTGCTTCTGGGGCTGTGGCCGTGCTGGAGAGCCGCTCGTGGGGGGCAACTGGTGGCCTCGGTAGGGCGTGAAGGACGGACCGGAACGCCCCCCTTCCCATGAGGTTTTAGTCGCCCCCGCTCCCCCGGCTCATGCCTGCTGTCCACAAGGCTCCCATGTGGCCGCCATCTTTCTTTCCAGAGAGGAGAGGGCGAATGGGGCAACACCCTTTCCCCTCCAGCAGATTTGATGGCCTGGATTAACGCATAGTCCTTTCACTTTTCTGCTCCAAGCTGTTGGGTTCTGCATTAAGTCCTTGTGCTTCTGGGGCTGTGGCCGTGCTGGAGAGCCGCTTGTGGGGGGCAACTGGTGGCCTCGGTAGGGCGTGAAGGACGGACCGGAACGCCCCCCTTCCCATGAGGTTTTAGTCGCCCCCACACCCCCGGCTCATACCTGCTGTCCACAAGGCTCCCATGTGGCCGCCACCTTTCTTTCCAGAGGGAGGAGGGCGGAAGGGACCAACACCCTTTCCCCTCTGGCAGACTTGATGGCCTGGGTTAACACATAACCCGTTCACTTTTCTGCTCCAAGCTGCTGGGTTATGCATTAAGTACTTGTGTTTCTGGGGCTGTGGCAGTGCTCAAAGCTTAATTATGATTTTCAGAGAGAAACGTTAGGTGGTTTACTTCCCATGGATCACTTTGTATATAGAGGGATGTCACGCGGCCGCATAAGCGGCCGCGAGGTTTTGAGGAAAAGTCCTAGTTCCCGCATACTCGAGCTGTGCTTGTAGAGGTTTCTGGTCACCGGGGTTCCATCTGGGGGAGGCGGGATGCGGTACCTACCCCATCTGGGACTTCCCGATGATCTCGGCTCTTTTTGGAACCTGTTTTTTTTTTTTCCTTCGGGATCTGTGGATCCCGCCCTCCATGTTGTCCTTCTCTTCGGCTAAATCTAAAATACTTTTTAAAGGAACTATTGTAGGGGCCAGAGCTTATAATAATAGGGTGTTTGCCTTTCATGTGGCCAACCTGGATTTAAACTGCAACACCCTGGGGCTGGAGTAATAGCACAGTGGGTAGGGCACTACCCTGAGGCAAAGACCCAGATTCAATCTCTGGCATTCCATATGGTCCACCCATCCACCACCAAGAGTAATTTCTGAGTGCAGAGCCAGAAGTAACCCCTGAGCATCGCCAGATGTGACCCAAAAAGTAAAAATATAATAATACTTAAATTCCAATCTCCCATATGGTTCCTTGAGCATTGCCAGATGTGGCCCAAAATCAAAAACAAACAAAAAAATCCCAGAGGAACTATTGTAAAAATCCCCACAGACACTTGCATTTGTCTTCTACATCTCACACGTATGATCTTGGATATCATTGCTGATAATTGATATGGCAACCACTCTACTCTTTTGGGAATGGGGTGCACTCACATTGGTGCTCAGGGCTTCCTCCTGGTTCTTTGCCCAGGAGTTCCTAAGGGTGCCCCAGAGCACCATTTGGGGTGCTGGGGATTAAACCTAACTTAGTTATTTGAAGTGACCTGTGCCTCTGTACTGTTGCTCCGGCCCTGCCATCCACTGTACTCTTCCTTAATTTTAAGGCTCCCAGAATGATTTAGTACAAAAGGTTCTTAATGTAGATTCTCACCAAGTTACTGATTAAAACAATTTTCCAGATGTTCAGTAATTGCCATGAAATTTTTTGATCTTTCTACAATGGATATTTGTTACTTTTGCATGCTGAAAAACAATAATAATGCTCTTTCATGGGTGCAGGGTCAGTGAGAACATCTGTAGAAACCCGTTGGGTGTGGATTTGTCTATTTCTGATCCTACTTCTCAAAATACATCGTGATTCCTCTCTCTCGGACTATAGGGTTTATGTAGTTGATCTTGGAAACCATGATAATGACTGAAAAAGAGTCAAACTTTTGGTCTGAATGGACCTCTCAAAGTTGTGGGTTGCTAGTTATCTTCCAAGCTCTGCTTAGTTAAAATTTAAGACCCCCAAGCTAAGAATGGAACTATCGAATGCTGAAAAGAGAAGCCGAAGCCCTGGTGCCCCTCCTTGGGGTCATCACTCTAGAGATGATTATTGGAAAAGTTGCCCTCTGCCTTGAGGTGTATCTCCAAGACAGAAGGTTCTCCCACTGCTAGAGCAGGTTTCTTTCCAGAGGTAGAAGACCGAGATCACTATCTCAGGAGAGAAATCACAAGCTATCCTGTTCCTTGGCTTGGTCTTCTGAGTCACGTGAAAGGAAATCAGAGACCATTTTGAAGCGGAGTGTATGCAAAAAATAACTTCATTTTACAGGCATACGTTCAGAAAACTCAACTTTTGCTTAAGAACTGATACATTTTTTAGATGTTTCGCTCTTGGCATTTGTCACCTGGAATAGACACATCAAGATGGAATCTTGGATTGAAATGGGTCATATGAGTTATTTAATACAAGAATTATTACTTTAGGGGGCCAGAATGATAGTACAGTGGATAGTGTGTTTCCCTTCCTGGCCAATCTGGGCTCAATCCCTGGTGTCCCATATGATCCCCCAAGTTCTCTAGTGCGACCTGAGCACAGAGTTAAGTGTAACTAACCCCTGAGTATCACCAGATGTAATCGTAATTTAAAAAAACCTAAAAATTTGTAATAGTAAACCTAAAAAAAGAATTAGTATACTTTACAGTGTTCCCTTAAACAAATATAAATTCTCTTTAAACATTTTTATGCAGAGTGATAATAAATTTCTAAATTATCCTCAGCTAAAATATGATATTTAATATTTTGGAAATCAGACAAAAATTAAATTAAGACTTTCACTTTTTTTCCATAACTGGCATATAGAATACATTTGTAATTGAACAAGTAGTCTTTGAAAACTGCTGTAACTCTAAACAAGTAGGGAAAAATGGAAACTGCAATACTGAACTAGATTGGAGGTTGCTTTCTAGATTTACTTTTCTTGGGGGCTGGATCCTGCACCCAGATTAGAGTCTTAAACCTTAGCTGCTTAATTGTGGGTCACAATACGTTTCAAAGGCCAGAGTGATAGTACAGCAGATAGGACACATGCATCTAGCCCAGGCTCAGTCCCCAGGACCACACATGGTCCCCTGAACACCACACCAGGAGTAATCCTTGAGCACAGAGCTAGAAGTAAGCCCTGAGACTTGTCAGGTGTGAATCACAAAACCAAACACAAACAAAAGAATCCCTGGGTTAAAGAATAACAACAACAAAAATCCAACTACTCTGTATTGGGAAGAGGATGCTAAATTGGTACACAATCTAAGAAATTTCCAGATAGTTACTTTAGATCACAAGTTTCTTATGCGATAACTGTGTATGAACATAGAGCTCTCCATTGCATTCATTTTTTTGGAATATGAGACAATTTAAGACCAGTCTGCCTGTCTAAGGGCACATTGTAGAGCTGAATGTTTGAGTTACTGTGTGCAAGATATTTTTTATGTTATCTCTAATATATTTTGTTAGAATTCTCGGAATTAAAGTTTTGGCTACAAATTGCTGTTTAACTTGAAAGCCTGTTTTTTCTTCCTAGAGTTGACTACCAAGTCCAAGTATAATATTTCTATTGGGAGCCAAGTTTATTTTCTTATAATAAGTACTTTTGCATTAACAAAATATTGCTGCAATTATGTACTTTTTAAAAAATATATAACATTTTTCCCCCAGAGAATTCAAGGACAAAATTTCCCTCTGTTATTTCCACCTTGACCTTATTTCGAGCTTGACCCTAGTCTTACGCTTTGTTTCTCAGTGAGGCATCAGTGTGACAGAATCATCTCTGGCTCCTCATGCCCCTCTATTTCTTAAAGCTCCAGTTCTAGAGCTGACAGCGTCACACCAGCATCAGAGCTCAGACTGGAACTGGACTGTGCATTAACAGCCTAGCCACTCATTCTCTGTATCAGCTTAGCAAGTTTCTTAAACTGTTGCCTCATTTTTGTCATATAAAGTGGATTAACAGTATCTACCTCAGGTTACAAAGATTCAAAGTATCTTTTTCCTGTTTTGGCCTTTGGGCTGCACCAGCAATGCTCAGGGGTTACTCCTGGCTCTGCACCCAAATTTCTCCTGCTGATGCCCAGGGCATCATAAAGGGATACAAGGATTGAACCCGGGTTGGCTGCATGCAAGGCTAAACCCTATTTACCCCAATGAGAAGCTTTAGGGTGATGTAGCCCTAGAATAAATTTATTTTTAGAATCCCTCTTACAGTGAATCATTGGGGGAGAATGCTTATAACAGTTAAAAGGGAAAGTGATGGAAAGTAGCTTCAGAATAGTGTGTTTATAAGGGTTAATGTCAACTAAGAAAATGGTTTCCTCTTTGTATCTAGTGATCTGCATGCTCAAAATGTGTTTAACCCTTCCATTGGCTGCCTCTAGGACCAGAGGAGGATCTTCCAAGGAAGATGGAGTATTTGGAATTCGTTTGCCATGCGCCGTCTGAATATTTCAAGTCTCGTTCATCACCATTCCCCACAGTTCCCACCAGACCAGAAAAGGGTTATATATGGACTCATGTTGGACCTACTCCTGCCATAACTATTAAGGAGACAGTTGCTAACCATCTATAGCTTGAAAAATAGAACTAAACGTCTGTTTGTATTGTAATACTACACAATGTACAATGTGTTTCTTAAATGAAGTCCTTAGATGAAAAAATAATGGTAAAGGGTTTTTCCTTCCCGTCCTGTAATCATTTGTCTATTCATTATTAGTCACTTAGCAAATTAAGAGAGGTTTTTAATTTTCTTTTCAAAATTAAGAAAGAACTTGGTATGCTTTGAAATTAAATATTCTATATGTGTATCTTCCAAGCAAAGACTATAATTTCCAAGAATACCAACAGGAACAGTTTAGTGTCTGTTTTGCATCATAATTTTATTTCTAGATGCTCATAAAAAATGAATTGTATTTTTCTACAACAAAATGTTATTTAAGGTCTGAATTTCTGAACAAAGGTTTAATCCAATAATTTGTAGCTGTAACAGACTATCACAGTTACATAAGCTTTATTTTCTCATCTGGAAAATGCCATGACAGACTATGGCTTTTTTAACAAGTATGAAGGAAGGGCTGGAACTATTGTTCAGCAGGCAGGGTGATTGTCTTGCGTTCACCCATCCTAGACTCAGTGCCTAGCATCCCATATGGTCCTCCAGAGCCCACCAAGAGTGATCCCTGAGCACAGAGCCAGGAGTCAACCCTGAGCACTGTTGGATGTGGCCCTAAAACCAAAAGAAATACAAAAGGAAAACCAGGCATGAATGGGAAAATGGGTGGTTTAAATATACTTGCTTCCTCTTTTCCCTTAACTTGACCAACATTTTCAAGTTCAGGAAAAGTTGTTGGAATCTAGTTTAATCATAATAGTTTTGGGGCTGAGCACAGCAGGTGGGGCGTTTGCCTTGCATGTGGCTGACCCGGGTTTGATTCCCAGCATCCCATATGGTCCCCTGAGCACCGCCAGGGGTAATTCCTGAGTGCAGAGCCAGGAGTAACCCCTGTGCATCATCAGGTGTGATCCAAAAAAAAGCAAAAAAAAAAAAAATCATAATGGTTTTGACCTGACATAGAGGCTTTCATTGTTACCCTTTCTTACACTATTGATGTATGTGTTGGAAGGAAGCAGTTATCTGTATAGCTCTGTGTATATAGTTCTCTGCTCACCAAGATATGTAAAATCGATTGTAAATACCATTGTAAATAATGAAGTGCTAATGTTCCAATTTTTGGATTAAAGTGTATTTTTCAGTATATTTATATTGGAGTTATTTTATTCATTTATTTTACTTAAGCTATCAAATAAAACGTTCTTTACATTAATAGTATAAGCAAAAACTATGTCATACTTAATTTATTTTTGAGAGATTCCTCAGTACTTAATTGGTTTTAGGAAAATCAAAAACTGGCTAGTTAGTAAATTGAGCATTAAGCTATTTATTAAAAGTAGAAGGAAAAATTAAGCCAGTGGGTATACTGACCATTTGTTCATAACTTGGTAGATACATATATAATATGTACTTGGCCAGGGTTGGGGGGGGCAGTTATTTTGAGGCCACACCCAGCAATGTTCAGGAGTTATTCCTCTCTGCTCAGGAATTAAGTCCTGGCAGCGTTGAGGGACCATATGGGGTGCCAAGAATTGAACATGGGTCAGCTGCATGCAAGGCAAGCACCTTACCCACTATACTCCTCTCTAGTTCCATGTATATAATTATTTTTAAATGAATTAAAGTTTTCTTTTTTACTTTCCTTCACACCCACCATTAATGACTCCCATTGCTTTCAAGCTAGGATCTCATTTTTTTCTCCTGTTATCAAAGACCTGCCTTGCTAGGGGTCCTACCCACTATACCATCACACTGGCCCTAAAAAACATTGTGTGAACAGTAGCTCTTAAACACTTAAGAGATAAATGGTATGCTGAAGAAATAAATTCAGGAGCTGAAGCTATATAGTACAGCGGGTAGGGCGTTTGCCTTACCAAGGACAACCCTGGTTCGATCCTAGGCATTTCATATGGTCCCCTGAGCATCACTAGGAGTGATTTCTGAACACAGAGTCAGGAGTAACCCTGAGCATCTCCAGGTGTGGACAAAAAAAAAAAAATGAGTTTATTTCCTTTATTCACAGTTATTCTAGGAAAGAACTCAAACTTCGTTCAACTACATTAATGTAAGCCAGATACACATCACTCCATGTCATTTCTACTGTGCTTTTTTGCATCTTCGGGATATATTCCCAGAAGTTGTATTGCGGGGTCATATGGAAGTTCAATTTCTAGTTTTTTGAAGGAATGTCCATATTGTTTTCCAGAAAGGCTGGACAAGTCGGCATTCCCACCAACAGTGAAAAAGCATCCCTTTTCCCCCACACCCACATCAACACTGGTTGCTTTTGTTCTTTTGAATGTGTGGCAGTCTTTGGTGTGAGATGATACCTCATTGTTGTTTTGATTTGCATATCCCTAATGATTAGCAATGTGGAGCATTTTTTCATGTGCCTTTTGACCATTTGTATTTCTTTTCTGAGGAAGCTTCTGTTCATTTCTTCTCCCCATTTTTGATGGGGTTGGAGGTTTTTCTCTTGTATAATTCTACTAGTGTCTTGTGTATCCTGAATAGTAATCCCTTATCAGATGGGTATTGGGTAAATATCCTTTCACCCCAAAATGTCTGAACACAGTTCCTGGGCAAGGATCTCCTCTCTCGGGCACTGTGCTCCTCCTCCAAAGCATGCTTCGTTTGCCACTGGGTAAAGAACATCAAGTTCTTTGCTCCATTGTTTCAGTTTGATTATCTGAAAATTTTGTAGACAAGTTGACATGAAGACAGATGCTGTGATTCCAGGAGGCTTCCAGAGGAAGCGGGGAGGTTGCCCCATTGACCTTTCGGTTGATGCCATCTCCTGACCCCGAGCCACCGTCTCTGATAAGCTGCTCCCCCAACTGGAGTTCCACCTTTTTTGCATCTGAGTTTTTTGTGTTGGTCCTAAGAATCCTGGGTGGAAAGTTGGGAGGTGTTGAGACTCCGGGTTCTTTAAAATTGAGAGACCCCAGTTCTTCACTGCCAGGTCTTATCTGCCATTTCTGGAGTTGTGGCCAATTATTTATAGTTAAGCTCCTACGGGAGGATCCCGTCTATTTCAGAAATTTCAGAGGCAGCTAGAGCAGGACACCTGCTTCAAGTAAGAAGGGTATTTTAGCAAGGGGAAATAATGGGCACCACTGAGTCTAAGAAAGTAAGACAGCAGCTGCGAGGTGACCCACAAAACTCTTGGGGTAAGTTGGTAGCATAAAACCACTGGGAGCATAAAACCATTTGAGGATATTAATTTGCACCAATTTGACAAGTGGCACATCAGACTCTTAAGGTGCAAATCAAATGAGTAAAAATCCAATACATCAAAATTAAGTTTATTCTTATATGTACCTCAGTGTGGGTAACAAAAGACAGATATGATCTTTCAATATAAATAGATCTCTTTACAGGTTGACGAGATGGATTGTTTAACTGCTCTGTTTCTCTGCTCCAACTTTTTTTTTTTCTTTTTGGTGAGGGAGCCACACTGGTGGTGCTCTGGGCTTATTCCTGGCTCTGCGCTAAGGGGATCACTCCTGGTGGTGCTTGAGGGATCTTATGGAGTGCCAGGGATTGAATCTGGGTTGGCCACATACAAGGCAAGTGCCCTACCTGCTGTGCTATCTCTTTGGTCCCACTCACCCATTCTTAAACATTTATTTATCTATTGATAGATGATACATCAGGTACATTGCAAGTAGCCACTGTATTATCGCCCTTGGCCCTCTGATGTGATCTTAAAGAGAAGCAACAACAGGTCTACTGTCTGTTTCTCACTAAATCAGGGCCCTTGGTTTCCTGAGGTCACTCTCCTGCACACCCCTTTTGGGAGGGATGCTCCAGAGCACCATGGAAGAGCGATGCCAGGGGGTTAAAGCTCCTCACCATTTTTTAAAATTCTTTTTTCTTTTTGGGTCACACCCGGCAATGCACAGGGGTTACTCCTGGCTCTGCACTCAGGAATCACTCCTGGCAGTACACAGGGGATCATATGGGATTCTGGGAATCAAACCTGGGTGAACCATATGCAAGGCAAATGCCCCACCTGCTGTGCTATTGCTCCAGCCCCTCCTCACCATTTTTTACTGCTCAATTTCACACTATAAGTCTGTAACAATTATGTTGACACATTTATTTGCTTCTGTGTTGTATGAATATTTGCAACTATTGTATCTTGTTGAGTTACTTTTTCCCACCATCTATTGACCTTGTCTTTCCTACACTTTTGTTCTGGGGTTGAGGAGGGGCTTAGAGTCACATCTGTGGGTACTCAGGGGTGACTCCTGGCTCTGGCTCAGTGATCAATCCTGGCAGGCCTTGGGGGACCACACAGTGTGCGTCTTAACCCTGCACTATCTCTCAGTCGCTGCAGTTTTGTTATAATGCTTGTTTTGTCTGATAGAATACCAATGTTTTAAAATCAGTTTGCATAGATTTGAATAGGATATGAAAAACTCTTTTCTGTTCCTTCCCTTTCAGAGAATGTCATTACAGTTTAACTTAGACTTCTGCAGCGAGCATGTAGATGAGTTTTTTAAAAATCCGTTGAGGAGTCAGTGCAATGGGTCAGGTGCTTGCCTTGTACACGGCTGACCCAGGTTCAGTCCTCAGCATCCCTTATAGTCACCCAAGCACCACTGGGAGTAATTACTGAATGCAGAGTCCCAGAGCATGGCCGGGTATGCAACACCCCCCACCCCACCGAAAAAGATTAATTAAATTAAATTAAAAAATTAAACTCCATTCAGGGCCAGACCAATAGTACAGCTGGTAGAGCAACTCACCTTCCACACAGCAAACCTGGGTTGGATCCCGGCATTTATATGGTCTCCGGAACCCTGCCAGGAGTGATTCCTGTGTGGAGCCAGGAGGAAGCCCTGAGCACAGCCGGGTGCCCCAGTCTGAGAGAGATAATCTGGTATTCTTCTCACTCTTTTTTACTTATCCTAATTTCATCTATATTATAGCAAAAAGCAATATTTCATCTTTTCTCATAGCTGTATTGTATTCCATTATGTACATGTGCCACAATTTGGGTTTTTTTTTTTTTTTGGTCTGGGTCATACCTGGCAAAGCTCAGGGGTTATTCCTGGCTCTGCTCAGAGATCACTCCTGGAGGTGCTCGGAGATCAAACCCAGGTCAGTCACAAGAATCCTACCTGCTGTACTATCTCTCCAGTTCCTCCACAATTTTTTCTTTATTCAGCTATTAATTAAGCTGATTGAATTGGGCATGAACTCCACATTATTTTTTTTAATTGAATCAG